TTCACCATGTTGGTCAGGCTGGTCTTGAACTCTTGGCCTCAGATGATCTGCCTGCCTTGGCCTCCCAAAGTGCTGGGATTACAGGCATGAGCCACCGTGTCTGGCTGTTTTTTGTTTTTTGTTTTTTTTTGAGATGGAGTCTTGCCCTATTGCCCAGGCTGGAGTGCAGTGGCATGATCTCAACTCACTGCTACCTCCGCCTTCTGGGTTCAAGTGATTCTCCTGCCTCAGCCTCCTGAGTAGCTGGGATTACAGGTGCCTGCCACCACGGCCAGCTAATTTTTGTAGTTTTAGTTGGCCAGTCTAGTCTTGAATTCCTGACTTCAGGTGATCTGCCTGCATCAGCCTCCCAAAGTTCTGAGATTACAGGCGTGAGCTGCCTCGCCCGGCCTCTCCTGGGTTTTGAGCTTGCCACTGTGAGTGTCCAGCCTAGGGGGACGGCGTCAGCTCTCATTGGCCCTCCAGAGATACCGTTTCTTCCCGTTCCTGGGGCTGGCAGTGCTCACCTCCGGCCTCAGGAAATCCTCTCCTGCTGGCGCTCCCAGAGCCGGCCATCAACCAAGCCCACCCTCACTGCTGCTGGGAGGCCAAGGCTTCAGGAGGGGAAGGGCTGCGGGCCTTTACACTGTGCAAGCCAGTTTTAGCCTGCTCTTTTCACTTTAGTATGTTGTAAGCATCTTCTTGCATTATTTCAGTCTTTGGAAGAGGCCATCTAATAGCTGCAAACTATTCTATTGAGGGGCTGTGGTTTGTCTCACCGGTCCCCTGGAGTTGGCATTGATATTTTGCTCCACACTTTGCTGTCATAAATACTGCAGTGGACATTGGTGAACATCGAGCAAGAAAACTTCTCCTGTGCATTGGGTCTGTCCTGAAGGCAGACGTCAGAAAGTCCAAAGAGCAGGAACCCTATCCCAGACTTTTCTTCCCACTTGGGTCCAGTATAACCCCCTCCACTCCACTTAGTGTCCTGGTGTGCTGGGTCCACCTGTTTTCTGTACAAACAGCTACTCCAGGCCCTGAGGGGTTGGAGACATCCCTTCCAGCCTGTGAGCTCATCTTGAACCTGGCTGGAGGTGCCAGGCCACTCCTGGGATGACACAACTGTTGGGGAGGGCCCTGTGCTGGTGCGCTGGCCACATTGTCTGCAGCTCTCTCCTTTGGTCCGGCAGCAACCTCTCCCAGCTCCTTCTCATCCAGGGCCTCTCTCCTTGCTGCCAGTCCCACTGTGTGTGTGCGCATGCGTGTGTGCTGTGTGTATGCAAGTATGTGCCTCTGCACTTATGCGTGACTTAACCACCGCCATCCTCCAGACTACGGCAGCCTCAGATTTCTTCACCCAGGCCAGCGCATCCCATGAGGGCCACCTCTGAGGTCCCATCCAGTCAACAAATGTTTACTGCACCCCTTCTCACCAATGGGGCTAAACTTCATTGGGGTGGGGGTGGTGCTGGCCCCAGTGCTAAGCTCATATTTATTGGAGAGGAGGGTGCTTACGTCTCAGCTGCCTGTCCTTTTGCAGTCTGAGTGTGACAAGGGTCTTTGGCTTTGCTGAGCCTGGAGTGCTGCTGTCCCTGTCCCTAGATTCCCTTCCAGCTGCAGGGTGGGCTGAGGTCTAGCAGCTCCATTTCTTCCCTGAAGTGTATGGGATGGGACAGTGGTTGCTAAACTGGGTCTCAGTCTCTTCATGTGAAAAATGGTCCTAGGCCATGCGCAGTGGCTCACGCCGGTAATCCCAGCACTTCGGGAGGCTGAGGCGGGTGAATCACTTGAGGTCAGGAGTTCGAGACCAGCCTGACCAATATGGTGAAACCCCGTCTCAAAAAAACCCAAAAAACAAACTGGGGCTAATGGTGAGCCTGTTTTGCAGGATTGCTGTGTGCACAAAATAAGTGCATGGGCATAGGGTCCCTGGCACTGGCTAGGCGTGGAGGCTCTGCTGGGTATGTGGGGCTGCATCCCTGTCCTTGACAGCAGAGGTCCGGGAGGCTGGACTGGGGGTGGGGTAGGTTCTGCCCCCATATACCCCAGCCAGAGCCTGCCCAGTGGGTGCTCCTTCCCCACCCCCCAGCTACATCCCCTTCAACACAGTGGGGCTTAACTCCTGGGGCCTTGTTTCCAAAGCGGAAATGCCATTCTGGGAGGCACAGGCTTTGGGGGGAGGGAATTTAAGTGGAAAACGAGCAAATTTTTGAAATGCCTGTGTCGGAGCCTGTTCCCTTTGCTGCCTCCCGCTCACACCAGCAGCCCCACCCCCAGTGCTGCTCTAATCCAGCTCCTGGGGGAGGAGGGCCGCATCCCTCAGGGTCCCAGCCATCTACCTCCTCTCTGCACCCCTCTCCTTGGCCAACTAGGATGGAGCAGGGGCTGGCTCCCTTGAGGGCCAGGCCTTTTGTGTCCCTGCCCGTCCCTGCAGACTCCTGCCTGGAGCCCTGCCAGCAGGGCACTGCCTGCCCATGAGGCCTGGTCTCCCCTTCCCACAGAAGTGGAGGCCCAGGGATCACCTGAGGCTCCTGAGGGTCCCGCTGGTTCAGACCTGCTCTCTGGGAAGCTGATTTGTGTGCCAGTCAGGCTGAGGAGTGGTGGCTGGACAGGGCCAGTGCAGGAGGGGCCAGGCACAGCTCTTGGGAACAAGCAGGAGGAGATGCTCCAGGCAGCCTCCCTGAAGGCTGGCTCCTCTTCTGAGGTGAGGTGGGCTGTGTCCAGGAGGCATAGGGTGTTGGCGAGCTGTTCTGTTCCTCCTGAGGACTCTGGGTCATGCTGTGTCCCATCCCACTGGTCCTTCCTCACCCGCTGTGCTGTGAGTTCTGGCCAGTGGTTCCCAAGCCAAATATTGAGGAAATGCAGACGTCCAGTTTTTTGGGAGGGGTGGGACGCAGGAGTCTGCTTTTAAACAAGCTCCCCAGAGCACCTGAGCAGCCAAACCTGGGCTGCCCTAGCCCCTTTTCAGATGAGAAAGGAGCCCAGAGAGGGGAGAGGGTCTGCCAAGGCGGCACATCTCGCCAGGTGCTGTGTAGGCTGAGCCTTGGGTGTCAGGCAGAGGGGCGGCTGCAGGCCCACCTAGGCTTATGTCTGTCATAGGCCATGCTTGAGAATTCTCTGCTGTGGGCAGCCGGGTCCACCCCGCTGCTTCCCTGCCACTGCAGCTGCCTCATGGCATCCCCTTGCTCAGCCAGTGGCCCAGGATTGTTGACTGAGGGTCCTGTCTGGTCTGGACCAGGCTCGTCTTACGTTCTTACTGCAGGTTGTACATCCCTGGCCAGGCCCAGGGACTCTGGCACCGTGGTTTTGCTGCAGAGGGTGACAGTCACTGACCTGCAACCGAGCAAGGGGCAACTCAGGACAGCCAAGGTTGTCTCCACTCCGTTTCCCCTGGGTGATTCTTCCTTCTGTCTCCCTCATTCCCCCAGTGCCGCCCTCCTACCCCATATCGCTGAAGCAGATGAGTTGGAGCAGGACTCAAGAGGGTACTGGGCCCAGGTTTTAGGCTGAGCCTAGGAATGAGTAATGAGAGGAGGCAGATCAACTCAGCTGGAGTCCCCAGATGTCGGCACAATGCAGGGGAAGATAGGTGCTGCCCGTGAAAAGTGCTGGATTGAGAGCTCGCCAGCCTCCTTGCTTGAGGCTTCATTTCCTAGGGTCTTTACACGGTGGGCCTGTCTACAGTCGGAGCTGTGGTGGTGGTAATTCTTCTCCTGCAGGCTGGCGCACGCCCCCTCCCCTTTCCCACTAGATTCAGATCTGAGTCGCACGGCCCATCGACACGCGATGAATGCCCTGGGGTTGGTTAGCGGGAAAGACAGAAGTCGACTTGACGCCGTGGCTCGGCTCTGGAGGAGGAAGGCAATCCGGGCAGCCTTCCCAGAAGTGGAGGCATTTGCATAGGCCTTCGGTGCGTTCTCGCCCGGGTGGAAGGCGGGGACTTGGATTTGTTGGAGAGCGGTGTCCTGCGCTCTAGGCTGGAAGCCTGGCCTCGGCCGGGTGCCCGGAGCCTCGGGGTGGGAGGTGGGGGGCGGGGC